ACCTGAACGTATAAGATGTCTGCATGTTGATTTATATTAACGAATGATGTCCTTGTACCGATGGTAAAATTTAGTAAATGTTTTGACTAGTTTGTGATATCGAAACCCCTGTTGTAATAACTTTTTCAGTAATACAGAGATTTTTTTCGTTAAAATCAAATACGTTGTTACATACACGAGCGAATCGAACAAGTTGAGATAGATAAACATCATAAGATAGTGACAAGGGAACGTCACCATCTTAAAATGGATAAGTAACAATAGGAAATGAAAAATCATCTCTTTTATCATAGATTTTAGTAATAAGCTTCCCGTTAAAGATATAGATATCAAGATCCATGAAAGGGCAGTGTTCATTGTTAGTACATGTATTAGCTTTATTTAAAGTCAATTCAGCAGGATAAATCTCTTTAGTGTACATACTGAAGTCGTCATTATTGAGAGCCAATATATCATCCAAATATCTAAAAGTGTTATTATATTTTTGTATCAGAAGTTGTTTCGATGGGTCTTTTTGATTTTAGTCATAAATTGTAACTTATAACAATGCAGAAACAGGTCCGCAATAAGTGGTGCACAGTTAGTCCCTATTGAAATTCCGATAACTTGACGATATACGGAATCTCCATAGCGAACAAAAATGTTATCTAGTAAAATATCAAGGGCAGTTATAGTATTAAAGCAGGTCCGATTGACATAGTTCTTTTGTTTGTTGTTACTAAAAAGTGACCTAAAAGAGTTTGAACATATATATGCGCATTCTGACTTTTTAAATGCTCATTTAATCAGGTGTGTGAATTTTTTCTTAATAAGATTATGAGGCAAAGTGGTAGAAAGGGTAGAAAAATCAGAACTTTGCACAGATTCGAAATCACCAATATAAGCATGCAATTTATCAAGTACTTCAAACGAATTTTTGACACTCCAAAAGTAATTAATTCCACTATTTTCAAAGGCCTTAATTGAACAATTTATTACCAGGTTTTTGATTGCACCAAGTGTACTAGTAAGTAGAACAGACAGTTTAGTAGTGGAACATTGGCTTGAAGACGAAATAAATCTATATTTGTAAGGTGTTTTATACGGCTTTGGAAGCCAGTACATAGTTGGAACTTTCATTGTATTTGGTTCTGCTTGTAAAGAGGTAGCTAAAAGTTTATGTTTGTTACAGATGTCATTTTCTGAAAATGGAGTCAGTTGAAATGTTGGTGAATTCGTGATTTCCTTATGCATAACCTCAATGTAAAATTTACGTCAAACAATAATGATATTATTAGCAGCCTTATGAGCCAAGACAAAAACAAATTCCTTGGCGAGTTCTTTTAGCTTATGTTTGATACGAGAAATAGGGCTATTATGGTTGTTGTTAGGAGTGAAATGTTCTTTAAAATGTGGTATACGTATATCAACTATGTTCATTATTGAATTTAAAAAGAATCTAAGGATTTTTTATCAGCTTTTTCTCGTTTTATCCATTTCGAGCAGTGAGTATGGAGTGAGTCGTGGATGATGTTACGACAATCATTCCAATTAATAATTGACGGAGGACGATATTTAGGTCCTTTACTGAGGAATGATTTCAACTCTCGGTCACGAACGATGTTAAGGTTTCCTGTTATAACATGGGAACTGGGGCCATAAATGTATTCGGAATTACTGCAATTTCATGACGTAGGTGTATTGTCACTGATATTTACATCTTCACACACTTTGCTATAATAAAACACATATTTCCGGGTAGATTTTTTGTAAACATAACAAATAAGAGGGAGTTCAGTATTATCAAAATGTTTTTTATGATTGTAATGTTTTAATCCAATTTAATTCAATAATTTTCCGTGATCGTACAAACTTTGAATGAGATTCCCTAGGCTGCTTATTTACTACTTCTAAAGGTTGAACGGTTAAATATTTAATAGGATGATTGTGCTTCTTAAGGTGTTGATAAATGATACCTTTGAATTTATGGGGTCTTGTAAAACGATAAAGGTGTTCTTGCATTAGTTTGTATAAATACCGTCCAGTTTCACCTACGTACTGAATATCGCATCCCGGCATGTGTTAAGCTACTATGACAAATTTTAATTTTAGGGTAGTTTAGAGTATAACAGATTAACGCTACTACCTCTAGACTTATTTTGACAATTTATCAATGCTCACATCATACAAAAAATATTTAAAGTGAATTTTTAGTATAACATGACCGCGCATTTGAATGTTTGAAATTACTTCTAAATTGAATTTTTGCAACTTTCTTTATATTATACTTATTTATTATTCTTTACCTTTAAATGCCAATGGGACGATGTGGCCGATGGTTAAGATTAACAAAATAAACATTGATTTCAGTGATGAAAGCATAATATATTGACGTTCTACTAATGTTCTTTCCTCCTTCTATTTTCATGACGTCATTTGGCCATTTCTATGACGTAACGATGAGGTCATTTAAACCAGTGCAATGGCTTCAATATATGTCTATCATATTATAATTTGAATTTTTTTATTATGTTGTACGTAAATCATGCCGTTGTTGTTGATTTTTTTTTTGTTGTTGATTTTTTAAATTTTTTAATGTATCAAATTTTGTCATTTCGGGACCCTTTTTATAGCTTACCGTTTTATATGGGTTTTTCTCATTGTTGAAGGCCGTACGGGGGACTACGAATTCTAAAAAATACATCTACGTCATTTGGATAGTTGTCTTGTTGGTAATCATACCATATATTGTTCATAAGTTCAATACGGCAAATTAAGTTGACCGTAGATGGATTTGTCTTTTATATTAATCTGTTGGTCATATAGGTCTTCACATGTTTCCAGCGCTTCTTATATATCCTTGGTTTTTTAATATTTGGTTTTGAGCATTCCTGATGAAGGATAATCCAGAAAAGCGCTTGTGGAGGCATAAAGTTTATCAAGTGTTGATAAACAATCGGCATATTTATGAATTATAATACAAAAGAACGCAATTTTCTTGTCTTATTTTTTCTTGGAGTTACGCAGTATTGACAATTACAATTTAAAGTTATATTCTGGAGGTATATCATTCCTTTGTACAGTTATGCACCAGTGAAGGTGCAGTCACAACCAGAACGAAGTCATGGATATCGTTGACGGTCAAAGAATTCAAGTCCTTATTGGATGACTATTTGATATTCTGGTGTTTGGGGATGGTGTCAGTAGGAGATTTTAAATGAATATTCTGGCCTTGTAATAACTGAAATTAAATAGCTTTAATTGCACAAGACGGGATAAAAATAAATATTTTGTCATACAAAATTGAAGTAATGCAGAAAATAAGTGTGAATGAAAATAAGTCATATTAGCAAAAACTGAAAACGAATATTCCATCCGGAAGAAAATCTCCCCCCCCCCCCCTTTTCAGGCACTTATCAATGACCAGTCAGGCGGAGCACCCATTCTGGTTAAAAAAGGTCATGTCCTGAAATCGTTTTGACTTGTGTATGTCTCTGACTATTTTCTGATATTGTTGAGAATTCGTCCGGCATCGAAAGAGAGCAGCCACGACGACGAAGACGACAATAGCGTACACGGTCCGTAGCTATCTTGACTGAGCGAAGTGAGGGACCTTTGTGTATGTTCTAAACGAACACCGCGGACACGGTGGTAACTGTCAAGGAGTAGAACCGTATGTAATCTTCGTGACAAAGGCAGAAGGGCTGAATTCGTTTGTATGAAAACTGTAGAGGATTTTTATTATTCCCTTCGAACGTGTTCCCATATTTGTAATTATTTTTTTCGTAAATAAATTTGACTAGATAATGTACATTTCATTAAGGCAAAGTATGCGTAATTGGACGATATTTTGTTGATTTATTTTAATCTAATTCTATTTTCATATTGTGACAACATAGTAAAATTACGTTGGTACAACGTAATTTTGTGGACTCCAAGGCACGTGCTGACAACCATCCACACAACGTTGGCACAACGTAATTTGTGACGTAATTTATTACCACCATAAGACGTTGTAACAACGTCGCAACACAACTGTAAAATTAATGTCCCTTGTCCTCATTTGATTAATAGGAGCAATATAATTCCATTGAAGAAGTAAACAGGGTCTACATTTTATTCTTTTGACCTGTTTTTAGTTGTAAATTTGTCTATGTAGGAAAGATGGACACAATGTCCATATGTACTCTATTTCCAAACTGCCAGCTGTGTATAATATAATCACAAAAGTTTTTTTTTTTTCCTTTCTGCCAGGTTTCAATGTCAAATGTATAAACATCTCGTTTTCCCAAAAACTTTGCATTATGTTTTACATTAAACCTGTAGTTTTGTCCAATTCATTAAACACAGTTGTTTAAGGTTAAAGTCTTATTTTTTAACTTTTGCAATACTGAAGTACAAGATTTACACATTTCCATTTAACAAAAGCAACTTTTCTTTAAAAAAATTAACACATAATACTATTCGAAAAAGGAGATTTTGTATGATGGCTAATGAGACAACCCTCTATCCTAAAATCAAATTAAGCAATTATAGGTAACTGTACAGCCTTCAACGTGACATATTGGTACATGCTGCAACTTCTGAATGTTTAGGGTTTCAGTGTTCTAGAATATAGATTTCACTATGATGGTGGAGATTCTAGAATGTAGATTTCACTTTGACGAAGGAAAACATTTTTAAATGAATTATTCAGAAATACGACAAACTACCACATATACCTTAATATTTGCTGAAGATTCATTCAGCTGGATTCACTACACAATGACAAGCTAGGAAAAAAGTTTGGAAAAAGGCCCAAAAGCTGACTGTCTAATTTACAAATATATATTCTACACAACTTATACACACTTCTAAAAATATTCCAAATGAAGAAAATACCTGAAATTCAATCAAACTAACTATTGTTTTTTTTTCCATTGACCAACTAGAGATACACCTATCCAAAAGTTAAGACTTCTTTTTCTTAGCTACATGAACCAATAGAAAAATTATAATATGTTTCTGAATTTTCTTTATTTTTATTCCAAATTTTAGTCTTGTGTTGGTTGTATACATGTCATTCCAAATTTTGGTTTTCTGCCCTCTGATCAGCTGGTCTTGTGTTGGTTTCAGGTCTCTGAAAAAAAAAATAATCATAAATTATAAAATACAAAAAAAAAGTTGATCCCAACTTAATATGAATTACAGCAGTTCTTAAAAAAAATATCCTGTGTGTAAACATAATCAATATTTTTTCTTTTGCTGGTCGTATAATAAATCTTGCAGATTCATAATTATGTTGTGTTGTTACTGAGATGTTTGTATCTTTGCCAATTATACACATTTTTATAATGTATGTTAGAAATTTTAACATAATTTCAACAGTATATAATAATTTATAATTGTTGGTTAACCTTTGTTCTTATTTAAAAAATAAATTTGTTGTTAAATTGAACACGTGTTAATGAAATTATGGCTGTTCCAGAAAATGCTATGTCCGCCCCCCCCAGGGATGGCCCTTTTTTTTAACCCCCAGCACCGACATAATTAAAATAAAAAAGAACAACACTCCCTTTGCATTTTGGTATTTCAAATACAACATCCCCACATAAAATTTAAAAAAAAAAGCCTTCCCTGGGTGGACATAGTATTTTCTGGAACAACCAGTTGTTATTCTACAAATAATAATGAATCCAAATTAAAAAAGGAAGTTTGGTTTCTCAAAGTTGTCATTTATCAATTAATTTAAGATATTCATAGGATTTTACCTTAATAAATTTAGAATTTACATCAATACAGCAAGACCTTATATCATATGCCAATGAACGCAATCTATAAAATCAACAAATGATAATTTGATAAATAAAATTTATAAAAGAAGAATGTGTCCATGAGCCACAAATGATGTTATTAAAGGACATAACTAAAGAACAGTAAAACAGATGCTCTCCAAATTCAAACTGTGCGTTTTATGATAATAAGCATTGTGTATAAATTTTATAACATGTCGTTCAGGCAAACTAAAGTTAGAGAACATAAATCATTTTTGAGTTCAATGTATGTACGTACAGTACAAGAGTAACACTATATCACTCAGTGAAGGAGGGCATAAAAAGAGCTGATCAACTGATGTTTACCTTTTTATATCTTGGTCCATCTTTTTGAGCTGGTGCATGCTTAAGTGTTACTGTAATGCATTCCTCAACCTCAGACACATTGGATCTGTGGATTTTTATACAAGACTCTGAAAAAAAAATTATAAATACATTCAATTAGCTTCTATATTCTTCCGTCTGTTTACATGCGTGTGTCCAACAAATCTTTGGGAGAACTAGGTAAGTGACAAATTAACATGCATTCCAAAATTCATAAGTTTTATGATTGATTACGACATTGTTCTGATCACACATTTAGTAAGAGTTGATTATAGCTCGTCATTGATAAACATGTAGATTTCATACCATAAATTGAACAGCAAAAAAGACGTCCCTATATACTGGTTTTTTTAACACCAGTAAACTGGGTTTTACCCTGAAAACAGGAAAATTTTACCCAACTTTTCCCGACTGGATCATAGTCAAAATAATAATGACGTCTTGGAAGGCTATTTTAATTTTTTTCTGTGGCCCCTTCCTACGACGACCTAGTCCCAAATAATTATGACGTTTTGGAAGGCTGTTTTAATTTTTTTCTGTGTCGCCTATCTACGACAGTCTTTATTGGCACAATTGTCTATTCCCATGTCAGACCCAGTGACACAATGATTGATTGTTGATTGCTTAACGTCCAGTGGCAAATATTTCATGCATGCTCAGGATGATCCCCAGTGATACATGTAGTATTATCATTAATAGGCCGAGTTTGTTATATGCCAAGTTTGTAATGTGCCGAGTTTATAATGGGCCGAGTTTGTAATGTGCCCAGATGTCTAGCTTCAATTCGCATTTGTGATATTGATCAGACTTTTATGCTTCCAACATTATCAAAAAATAACAGTGCAAAAGACACTTACAGTCTTAATATATAGGGATAGTACAATGTAGCTCTAGTCATGGATAGAAAACAAGTGCCTGTGCACCCACCCCCCTTTTTTTACTTTCTACAGTTAATTGCATATATCTTAAAAAACAACACAAATGTTAATCGAGCAATTTGATAAATGGATTCAAATAACACAAATTTTGGCTAAAATATTTTGTATCAGTGCAATATGTTGACAGTAAAAGAAGAAGTATCATATTTCAACACGGTCACGGACAACAGACTTGAAAGAGGCGCCCAACACGGCAACAGATGTTTTATTTTCTTCAATCATACTTGTTTTATCATGGAGAACCTTTTTGGCGTAATGTGCAATTATTATATTACCTTATTCTTTGTTCTGGAATCTGGATCGAGCCAAATTTCACTGCAAGTTTTATCACTGTTTTTAAAAATCAAGCGGTGAAAGTGCGCATGCTCAGACATTTCATAGTATGCAGCGGTAAAACCCGAGTACTGCTGAACGTTCCACTATTATAATCAATCGTAAAAAACGATTATGAAATTAAAATAATAAATGATGACAAAACTTTAATGATATATTAAACAATAAATATTCATATAAAATATATATATATTAGAACATTAAAATTGGATTTGTAATATTTTCTTGGACATTTTGGTGCAAATTATGTCTGTGCGGGAAAAAAGGGGGATACTTTGGAAATCGAAAAAATCGTGAATATATTCTAGTGAAGGTGAACGATATATCCAGGAAGACTCATACCCACAAAATTCGTCCCATAAAACCAGATTTTAATGTGTCACTGGTATTCACAGGGTTTGTTCACTACGTTATTATAATGTTGATACAACGTAACAAAATGTTATGTCGGATTATGACAGTTATAAGCACGTTGTCACAACGTAATAAATGTACGTCCTGACAGGGTACTAAATTTACGTAAATTCGACGTAATTTTATAACGTCGTCTGTACGTCAGCATCTAACGTTGGGTTTTTACGTTCCCACAACGTTGGTACGACGTAAACTCAAGACATAACGTTCAGACGACCATTAACCGACGTCGGGAGTACGTCGTGTGTTTGCTGGGAAGGTGCTTTCGACTCCGAACTTAATTGACTTGGATAGCCAGTTTTTCTGCCGAAGTCGGTGTTTTTTTTTGCGGGTACTGTTCCTAAAAAATCTGACCACCACGAAATAGACAAGTGTGCTGAATGTTGCGTTTAATATAAACAATAAATCATTGAAATATCGTCCAAATGCGCATTCTTTGGCTTAAAGACATATACAGTATCTGGTCAAATCTATTTATGAAAACAGAAATATGAATAGGGATACGTTCGAAGGGAATAATACAAATTTGCATGCAAACGAATGCTGCTCATCTGAATGCCTTTGTCGCATTACATACTGTTCTACTCATTGACATGTACCGACAGTCCATCACTTCGCTCATTCAGAATAGCTACGTACCGTATGCAATATTGTCTTCTTCGTCGTCGTAGTTGTTCTCTTTCGATGCCAGAAAAATTCTCAACAATATCCTGCATAAATCGCAGTCTATTTTTAAACGGATGTGACCGAAGTTTCGTTCACAATTTGTTCACTGTTGTCTAAATCTTGAATTGGGATGTTATTAATAAAAAAAAACCAAAAAAACAAGCAAATGAAACTATTGTTTGAGTGATTTGTTACATATTTATTTGTATACTAGTATACAACTCAGAGGACATTTTGAAAAAAATACCTTATACCTTTATCGGGAACTTGATTTTTTGTCAATTTCTACGGGTAAACTATTAACACTGCAGATTTGAAGAAAAAAACGTTTAGTCAGTGGGAATGATAAAAGACTTTGATTGATAGAGAAATGAATAAGACATTTTAAACACCAATTCAAGGGTATCTTCTAGATATGGAAATAACAAAAAGGAGGTATTTGATAGAGATTGCTTTGATCTCATCACATTAAAACTAGTGTATGCAAAGTAACTTGTAAGCTGGTAAAACATATTTTATTTGAGCGGGTTTCGAAGCAGTTCAATGAATGGACTCCAGATGGATCAAATTTTTGGTGAGCGTCGTACATATAGTTGTTGTATTTTCGGCATGATATTACTATACATGTATTCTTACTCTCTGTGGACAACTTAAAAGTTAACAGATTATCACTTTTATCAATGCATCTAAGACTTTGTTCTATTAATTCGTTTAATATATTTTACATAATGTTCCGTTAATTTCTGTCTCGAGACGTTTCTTGAATAGTCAGAGAAATACACAAATCGAAACGATTTCAGGACATAACCTTTTTTTACCCAGATTGTGTGCTCCGCCTAACTGGTAATGGATGAGTGCCTAACAAAGTTCAGGTTGTATATTATGCCTAGGGGCATCCGTTTGATCTTTTCTGGGAGGAGGGAAGGAGATTTTTTTCCGGATTTAATATTTGTTTCCATTTTTTGCTAGTTCAAATTATTTTCATTCACACTTATTTCCTGCATTGTCCTGCATTTTGTTCGACACCAAATTCATTTTCAGCCAGTCTATGCCAGAGTTATTTACAAGGCAGGAATATCCATTTCTAAATCCTACTGCCCCCATTCCCCTCCTCTCATAAAATCAAGTGGTCAGTCACTAAGGACTCGAGTTTGTTAACCGTCAACGGTACCCATGACTTCGTTTTGGCTGATGCTGCACCTTCTCTGGCGCATAAGTTTACAAAGGAATGATAAACGTCCTAAATATATGTTTTTAAGTCATTTTCAAAACTGCGTAACTCGTAGAAAAAATAAAACAAGAAAATTGTTTTCTTTTAAATTAAAATTCATAAATATGCCTATGTTAGTTTGTCAGACACCTGATAATTCTAATGTTTCCGAAGCACTTTTCTGGATTAACCTTCATCAGAAACGCTCATAACTACTTATATATAAAAGCCAAGGATGGATAAGAATCAAAAGATAAAGGATGAATTTTACACGCATGTCCAACTGAATTTGCCTTATTGAAATTATCAACAATATGAAAATAATAAGATATGGTATGATTACCAAAGAGACAATTAACCATCAGAGACCACATGACGTAGATGTAAGAAACCGTAAACCACCATACGGTCTTCAACAATGAGCAAAATGGTTTTTAAACCCATATCGTACAGTCAGTTATAAAGGGTCCCTAAATGACACAATGTGAAACATTTCAAACAACAACAACAAAAAAAAACATAACGGCTTGATTTACGTACAACATAATAAACAAAAATCAATTATGATTGACATTTGAAAGCCATTGCACTGGTTTACATATCATTGACATCATCTTAACGTCATATAAATGGCTAAATGACGTCATGAAAAAATTAAAAATGAAAAGAGAATGAAAAAACATTGGCAGAACGTCATTATATTATGCTTGCATAGCTGAAACCAATGTTTATTTTATTAATCTTCACCATCGGCCATATCGGCCCGTTGGCAGTTAAAAAACACAAAAACCGGACTAATCAGCCTTGTGGCAGTTACAGGCAACGTCAGTCTGCCGGATCGGTCCTTTAGCAGTTAAAGGTAACGTCAATCGGCCCTGATCGGCCTGTTGGCAGTATAAGCGTTAAAACAAATATTAAGTTTGATTTCTTGTTTGATGGCGCGCTTCATTATCGTTGCAGATGATGTGGTGATTGACAAAAATCTGTATTTATTGAATTGAACCTGGTTTTATATCTATTCAAAGTGAAAGTAACATATTTGATGCATTTGCATTCATGCAGTGGGAATGAGACTACACCATTTGTCCTCATCGTAGTCAAAAGATGTTGTTTTGTATAGGACAAATTCCCGTTCATTTACAAAGTCATCATTCCATTTTCATAAATGGACAGTTGTTAAGTTCATCAATCTTTTAGTTGGCGCATTTATACATAACAATTCTCGTGATCGTATAGGCTAGAATGCGTTGTACTTATATAAAGTAGAAAAAGACGCTTTACACATAGATACCATGACGTTACACAGACAGTGCTAACGCGTATAAGTACATGTATAGATCCCAAGGTACTATGAAAGTCTCTATTTATCCTCAACATACTCGGGGCCGCGAGTTAATGCAATTAAAATCTCATTAAATAATGTATCGAAATTAAGAAAAAATATCTGTGAAATGAAATGAAATAACTATTGTAGCTTTACAGTCCATGAATCACATTTAATCTAATTGCGATCATCTATAGCAGTACTATGAAAGTCGCTATTTATCCTCACCACACTTATCATACAAAAACAAATGTTTTTTTGTTAAATGTTGAAGAAAATAAACAAATGGCTAACAGCAAAAATGTAGGTTAACATTTGCACAATATTGAATAAATCATATTCCAAAATATAGTTTACTCTGTTGATTATATAGTCGTCAAATTTGCTGTGTGAAATAGGTATTTCAATTACAGAAATAGTTTGCGGATAAGGATATGCCAAATATAATTTAACGGCCATCTGTTACGAAAAACTTAAAACCTTTATTCTACATCTCGTCCTCGTTTTCACGTTTCGTATCTCGTATCAGCGTAAAGACTTGTGTCAAGTTTTTAAATGTCAAGGCACATGCCACTAGAGGTGCAAGAAACTGACTCGGAACATGCATTTTCCGAAGACAATGGTGGGTTATACCTGGTATAATCGTCTGATTTGTAATTTACCGATTGTGACATTTTGACTTAGTGTTAATTCGCATGATCGGTGATGCATCATACCAGAAGACGCCTCCCCTGTCAACACACACGGTCTCGCTCCTTTTTGTAGTCAATGCGATTTCCTCAGATTTTGTTTGTTGCTTTACTTTTTTTTATCGTTTTACGAGATTTGAACATCGTTAAACTGCTTCGCCTAAATTTATCTCTTATGGTATATATTATCAAAATATCTGATATACCAAAGACCTTAAAGTTTCAGTAAAACAAAAATGCCATTTTTAACTATTTTGTGAATAATGATTAAAAAAAAGAAGCAAAACAAAGACCAAAAGAAAACGGATGTCTATTAAATGAAGAAAACGAAGAAAGTTGTCTATAAAATAATCTCAATGCAAGGGACATTGTGTTCGATAAAAACATTGGGGAAATTTTATAATCAACAACTTATCCTAAATTAATAGTTGAATAGAAAGTTATTTAAACAATAATTATGTGCTCCCTATTTATTTGTAATATTAAAGATTTAGAGCTTAAATTATGGCCTTAGCTAGCGGGCAACTTGAACATGACGAATTAAACAGTGGTACTCAAGAACAGACAAAACATGTTATATAAAAGGAACCACATAGTTAAGAAATACTAGACAATAGAGAACCACTTGACTGACTTATATCAAATACTGACTCAAATATAGTATGAAAGATGTTTAGCTGTTGAAAATAATGTATAGCATCCAAACATAACACATCATACCGTACATTAAATGAA